CCCTTGCTTCAGCAGGAGACTTTAAACCAGGGGTGTCCAACCTTGGCAACTTTAAGAAGTCCACAAGTCTTAAAGTTGCCAAGGTTGGACACCCCTGCTTTAAACTATTGCAGACAAATGGTTCAGTTTCTTCTTAAAATCCTCCAGTGTTGGAGTACCCACAACTTCTGGGGGGGGGGAGGAGGACAAGTTGTTCCGCAGATTAATTGTTCTTCCTGTTAGGGAATTTCTCCTTAGTTCTGGGTTGGGGACCGGGCCCAAGGTTGACCCAGCCTTGCATCCTTCCGAGGTGGGTAAAGTGAGGAACTCAGATTGTTGGGGGGCAATAGGCTGACCTTGTAAACCACCCAGAGAGTGTTGTAAAACACTACGGAGCAGTCTCTAACTGTTCTTGCCTTTTACAAAATTGAGATCAGCATTCCTAGAGCCGACAGCTGTCCCAAGTTATATTATGTTCTCTATTTCAAGTCTAAGGAGTACTTTTCAAGATGTGTAGTTTTTCCCTCCGTCTGCTCTCTGCCAACGCTGATGCAGTTAGCATGGCTGGAAGGAGACCAGCCGTAGGAGCCGCTCCATGTTTCTTGCTCCAGTGCTTAACTCATGGTTTCGCCCGTCTTATTGGATTTATGTATGGTGCACAGATGTCATAAGTGTAACTGCCCTTCACAATCACGGCTTTCTTCTTCCCCAGATGAAATTCCAATTAACAATCCCACAGAATCTTGGAAGATAAAGGAGGGTCAAACGATGAACTCAACACCGGGGAGATTTTCAATATCAGATCTCGGAAGAAAGCAGCAAACCACAATGTCCTTGGGTATTTCTTATTCCCCTCCTTAACTTTCTGGGCCTGAGGTCTCATTGCATAGGAAAAACAAAACAACATTATGCTGGTATACAGTCTCTGAGTTGTCACCACGGTTGGGACCAGAATTTCCATCGTGGTTGTTACATGAGTCACACTCAATATTATGACATTTTTTGGTTAGTTATTAAGCGAATTGCTGCCACTTTTAAAGGAATCATGCAGTCATTATATGAATCTGGCTTCCCCACTGACCTTCCTTATCAGAACCAGAGGTGGTATGCAGCCAGTTCTGACCAGTTCTGGAGACCCAGTAAGGAAATTATGATTAGTTCAGAGAACCAGCATATCCCACCTCTGAATGGCCCCACCCCCGTCTATTCTCTGCCTCCCATTGAGTCCCAGCTGATCAGCTGGGTCTTCTTTTGTTACCCTGCACAGGAGAATGGAGCTGGAAAGCAGGTTAGTGGGGTGGGGAGGGAATGGAGATGTTGCAGTAACCTTCTCCTGCCACGCCCACAGAACTGATAGTAAAAAAATTTGAATCCCACCATTGATCAGAAGGTCACACAAGGTGATCACTTGACCCGGAACCCTGCAATCTTCATAGATAGGAGCCAGTTACTAAGTGCCCATGAAGAAACTCACACATCATTATTTTCAGTGCCACTGTAATTTTGGCCATCACATGAATGCTTGTAAGTACTGGACTTTCTACCCGTCTTTCCCTGATGGGTCCCAAAATAAGCACTAGGGTTTATTTTCAGGGGGTATTTATTTTTTTCCCCATGTACAGGAGGCCCACTTTTTCTGCTTGCTCATAGTGGGGCAGGAGTTTGTAGGGCATACCAGTGCCACCACCAGGAGGCGGGGGGTGGTGGTGGAGCTGTCCTACACACCCCACACCAGCTTACCTCAGGGCCCCTGCAGCCAGGCCATCCACACCCCAACTCCTGCCTTGCCTCGCAGCTACAGCAGCATCACACTGCTCAGCCTCCTGCTCTGTTGCGGCCACAAGCAAGCAGAAGTGGGCTCCTACGGCACGTGGCTCTCGATGCTGCTACCACCAGGATTGTGTCAGGACATGGAGGGCCTGGCTGCAGGGGCCCTGAGGTAAGTCCAGTGCAGAGTGCGTGAGGCAGCTCTACCGCCACCCTGCCTTGCCTCGTGGCCACAAAACTGCAAACAATCAGACGGAATGGGCGGGTAGCCAACTGCACAGGCTCTTAAGTAGGACTTATTTGGGGGGGGGATAGGGCTTATATAAAGAATATATGTAAAAACATGTTAGGTCTTATTTTCGGGATAGGTCTTATTTTTGGGAAAACAGGGTATATTGCATATAGTATGAAGCAGCTTGCTTGCTGCACTATTTTGTGACTTGGTTGGTCTGGGATGCTTTTGTTTGTTTATCCAAAAATGTTACAAAATGCAAAAGAAATCCTTATTTCCATAATATTTTAAAGGTGCAAAACAAAAACAAAAAAAAACACCCCTACCCTTATTTGCAATACATTGCAAAGACAGCAAAACAGATTTGCTTTGCCCATCTCTAATTCTGCATTAAACCTTTGGCTAGCAGGGTGCATAATCTCTCTGTTGTGCTGCTTTCCTGTCTCAGGCAATCAATCTTACCACAGATAAAATCCCCACCTGTCTGCTCCTTTTTTTTAAATTGAGAGGTCTTTCCACCCATTGGTGAACATCTCTGCAGGAAAGACAGTTCTGAACGCTCGGCAGCTCGTGAATGAGATTAACAAAAGGGGGGGAGGGGGAAATGTTGATAGCTTTTCAAAAGGGAAAGTAGCTGGATCACTTTTAAGCCCCAAGGAACTTTTAGTAGCAAGCTCCTTTTCTAACATCAATCACGGAGCTGCTGGGATTCCATTACCTGGTTGCAGGTGCTCACCTAAGGCAGAGCATAGATCTCTGGTTTTAAGCGCTGTCATCTTTCCAAACTAAACTCCACAGAGCTTTTTATCCCAAAGGGCAAATAAGGCACAGGCTACAGGTAGGCAAAGGACGGGGGGGGGCGGGGGGGTCTTACATAGACTCATAATATAAGGAATGGAAGTGACTTGAGAAATGATCTAGTTCTAGTCCAACTTCCAGCGTAGAATCTTTAAAGGTAAAGGTTCCCCTCGCATATACGTGCTAGTCATTTCTGGCTCTAGGGGGCGGTGCTCATTTCCGGTGCTCAAAGCCGAAGAGCCAGCGCTGTCCGAAGACGTCTCCGTGGTCATGTGGCTGGCATGACTAAAGGGGGAAGGCTCATGGAACGCTGTTACCTTCCCACCAAAGTGGTCCCTATTTTTCTACTTGCATTTTTTACATGCTTTCGAACTGCTAGGTTGGCAGAAGCTGGGACAAGTAACGGGAGCTCACTCCATTACGCGGTGCTAGGGATTCGAACCGTCAAAATGCCGACTTTTCTGATTGACAAGCTCAGTGTCTTAGCCACTGAGCCACCACCGCATCCCTTCCTTCCACTGGTAGACGGCGACAACATCACAATTGAGCGCAGGGCTTCCCTTGCTATGCAAGACAATTGTGAAGTGAGTTTTACTGCCGACAACCGGTCATCATCGTAAAATGAATCCCAGCAGTTAAGTTAGTAACATGATTATTTAAGTGGGCCTGCCTTCCTCATTGACTTTGCTCATCACAAGGTCGCTAAAGATGATCGCCATGACCCCGGGACACTCGAACTGTCATAAATATGAATCAGTGGCCAAGCACCCGGATTTTAATCATGCGACCGTGGGGGTGTGACAACAGTCATAAGTGAAAAAATGGTGATAAATCTCTTTGTTCAATGCTGTTGTAACTTTGGTCACTAAATGATGGTTGTAAATCAAGGAGTACCTGTATCACAGCATCCCTACCAGGACTTCCAATCTCTGAAATATCCCCTCTGAAGGAGACTCAATCTCTAGAGAGGTAGCAGGATTTGACTAGTCCAGTGAAAAGAAGGACTGGGGGGACATGATAGCAGCCTTCCAGGATTTGAGGGGCTGCCACAAAGAGGAGGGGGTCAATTTATTCTCCAAAGCACCAGAAAGCAAGACAAGAAACAATGGATGGAAACTAATCAAGGAGGGAAGCAATGTGGAATTAAGGAGAATTTTCCTAACAGTCAGGAGAATTAACCAGTGGAACGGCTTGCCTTCAGAAGTTGTAGGTGCTCCATCACTGGACAGCCACTTGTCTGGAATGGTATAAGGTGTCCTGCTTGAGCAGGGGGTTAGACTAGAAGATCTCAAAGGTCCCTTCCAATTCTATTCTGTAACACGTCTAGCGAAAATGGCACAATTTTCATGGAGAGTATTATAAGGTAGCTAAGAAAATTCCAAAGTTTGCCAAAGAAAAGAGAGAACCTAAACCTAAACCTCTGACTGGAAATTGATTCTGGCTTTTCAATTCAATTTTCACTCAATAGTTTAGGAATTATCTTTTTCTGCCTCATGTCTGCCTGGCTGAAAGGAATCTCTATTTCAATATGCGACTGAAAATCCCCAATGTTTTGCTAACACAAATGTACACCTTTTCTGCCTAAGGAGATGAACCCAACTTGAGAACAGGTTAACAGAGTTGGAAGGGACCTTGTAGGTCATCTAATCCAACCCCCTCACCCAAGCAGGAGACCAAGGGTCTTCAAACATGGCACGTTTATGACTTGTGAACTTCAACTCCCAGAATTCCTGAGCTAACATGACTGGAGGAGGAGCTCTGGGAGTTGAAGTCCACAAGTCTTAAAGCTGTCAAGTTTGAAGACCCCTGCCCTACACCTTTTCTGACAGATGGCAGTCCAATCTCTTCCTGAAAGCTTCCTGTACAGCTTCCATCCATTATTCCTTCTCTGGCCTTTGTGTGCTTTGGTGAATAGCTTGACCCCTTCCTCCTCTCTGTGGCAGGCCATCAAACATTGGAAGACTGCTATCTTGTCTCCCCTGGTCCTTCTCTTCACTGGACCAGCCATGCCCAGTTCCTGAAACCATTCAGTGTATGTTTTAGCCTCCAGTTCTCTTCTTCACCCAGCCTTCCTGTTCATCCCTTGAACCTTCGTCTCTATCCTACAGACACCCACATTCTGCAAGGCTGTGCCATCCTCTATCCACACACCCCACATACACACACACACACACACACACACTGACACACCCCACAATGACAATAGATTGGTGTCGATAAATACCAGTCCACCACAGGTGCTGAGCGAAGCCAACGAGTCATGACTGCGGTTTAGCACATGGCCCGTGTAGAAGCAGAGCTGATCTACTGCCTGATGATGGCGCATGCTTCGGTTCTCATTGATTTCTTCTACGGAGAAACCAGGAGCCAAAAACCGATCATCGTGGTGAAGCATCAGGTAGACATCAGAGGTAGGAGGAAGCCCAGCACCGACAGGCAGGCGAATAAGCAACTGGGCAGCATCTTCAGGTAGGGAAACGGAACGTCGCTTCTGAGCCTTGTTAGGCCCACTTTTGGGGGGTTGCAGAAAATGGACCCTGCCAAGAGGAACCTGCTCTGGAATCACCACGGCCAGCTCTGCAACAGCTGCAAAGGACAAAGGGAAGAAGGGTTGATCTCAGAAAGCATCCAGCTACCCCGTCTCCCATAATCAAAGCAACCTTTCCCCCTCTAATCTGTTAACATTCAGAGCTCAGGAGGAGTCAGTCAACCCAGACCTTCAGTGCTAGTTGTGAGCAGGGGTGGGCTTCAAAAATTTTTAGCAAGAGGTTCTCTGCTCGGTTGCTGGATGGCTGTGGCCATGATGGGCATGGCCTAGTTAGCCTCCTGCACCATGGGGAGGGGGGCATTTTTGCACTCCCCAGGCTCCTGAGGCTTTCCTCGAGCCTCCGGGAGGATGAAAATGGCCTCCTCGGGCTCTGGAGGCTCACTGGAAGCCAGAAACAGGCCCATTTCTGGCCTTCCTGAATTTCCGGGAGGCTCGTTTTTCACCCTCCCCGAGCCTCCACGTACTCCCTGCAGTTCCCTGCACCCAAAA